GTCCTCTCCTTCGGCATCAACAACGAGTGGAGCTTTGACGACGCCATGGAGCGATACGGCTGCAAGGTCAGCTTAGAGATAGATTATATTTAATTGTTTAAGGGAATTAAGGGAGGAGTTGGAGCAACGAGTGGAGCATTGACGACGCCATGGAGGAGTACGGCTGCAAGGTCAGCTTGGAGATAGATTATATTTAATTATTTAAGGGAATTAAGGGAGGAGTTGGAGCAACGAGTGGAGCATTGACGACGCCATGGAGGAGTACGGCTGCAAGGTCAGCTTGGAGATCGATTATATTTAATTGTTTAAGGGAATTAAGGGAGGAGTTGGAGCAACGAGTGGAGCATTGACGACGCCATGGAGGAGTACGGCTGCAAGGTCAGCTTTTAGATAGATTATATTTAATTATTTATGTAAATTAAGGGAGGAGTTAGAGCAACGGGTGGAGCTTTGATGACGCCATGGAGCAATACGGCTGTAAGGTGATGGATGGAAGGAATGTAACGAATACGTGCGATTAGCATAGAAAATATTTTCTAATGTTAGCAACGGCTTCGTGATTACGAATTCCATGATTTGTCTTGTAAAGTACCCAATATTGCCATACATTGAACTTAAATCAATTGTTGCAGATTTTCGGTAGATTAACAATTATTTTCAAATGACCGTACAGGTGTACGCGTTTGACCCCACAATGGGGAGGCAGGCCCACCTTAGGGGGAGCAACATCCACTTCCAACCCTGGGGCCTGGGGGGCGAAACGGGGACCTCTACATTCAAAGGGAAAAAAATACCGGTAATCTCCCCATGCACCAGGCATATGACACGTAAATACCGTGGATTAAACGTGTTCTCGTCGAACCCAACTAGCAGTCATTGCTGTTTCAACCTTATTTGCCTCGAGGGTTGCCAGTTTTCAATAATGAATAATATACGTTTAAAAATTACTTTTTAAAGACAACACTTCCAAAGAATCCAGTATCTTCAATCTTACAGATGTACAATGAATTTCTCATCGAATTTTCGAAAATTAAAAAAAATTATTTTTACATTTTTTAATATATATAGGTAATTTTTTTAATATATAAATTTTTTCAAAATTATTTATTCTATTAATTGATTCATGCATTGTCTCTGACTTCACACAAGTGTGCAAAATTTTAGATCAATCAGACAGGTAAAAGTGTGTCAGATATCAGTTATAAGATTTGTAGCTGACAAAATTAATTTTTCAATTTTTTTAATATTGAAAAAAAAATTTTTTAATTCTATAAAATCTTTTATTTTGACATTTGATTCATGCATTGTCTCCAACTTTACACAAGTGTGCAAAATTTCAGGTTGATAGGATAAGTAGAAGTGTATTAAATTTTGATTACAAGATTTGTAGCAGACAGACAGACAAACAAGAAGTGAAGTTAAAGAGAAGTGTTGTAAAAAAAGTGAACATGAAACAATTGACTACACAAAGTCCCCCGGATAAAAAGTAGCAATTCTGATATAAAAGAAGTACTGATGCCCAAGTTGCAAATAAAGTTTCGTGATAAATTATCGAATGATTTTTTTGAATTTGTGCTAGATTGCAGCGTCAATATATGAAATACCATAATGCTGAAAATGCTCATTAGTTTTATCTTGAACTTTTATAGCCTTAATGATATTTTTATTGGATTCTACACAATCGTTATATTATTTAAGTCTCAAACATTCGAATTATTATTCAAGTCTCAAACATTGGAAATGTACTGCAGTACACAGATTATGTACAGATAAGGTTTGTGATAATTTTCTAATAAAATGGAGACAGGAACGCTCTGAAACAGGTCTGTTATGGCATTGTGGTAGAAGATTTTGAAAAAATTTCGTCTTGTCCTGCAAACTCAAAATCTGATGAATTTGTGTCTTCGGTTACAGTCTCAAGTATCAAATTAGTTTTAAATTTAATTATTACATACGTTTGCACTCAGTTATTAAATTCCAAATTTTCTATACTGAGCAGAAGAATTATAATTTTATTTTACTACAGTAGTGGTAATATTGCTTTCGTTGACGTTACTTATATTGGTGAACACTAAGCGTTTAATTAATGATCGGGCAGATCTACACATATCGAGATATTCTTAAGAAGATCAACGAGGAGAAAAGCTTAATAGACTACCTCAAGATCGACATCGAGGGCTTCGAAATTGATTTCTTTCGCAACGTCCTGAACGACGACGCCGAACTCCTGGCCAACGTCAAGCAGATCGGCATGGAGATCCACCCAGGTTAGAGATCCTTGCGAACATCCAACGATGTTAGAGAGCAAAAACTTGGATTGATATAGAATAGAATAGAAGTGTCGGCGTTGAAGAAATAGGTCCATGGCCTGTTGCCGATTCCTGAACTTTTCGTGACTTGATTCACAAGTAATCCGGCTTTGGAACCCGATCTCTCCATAAGTGACGATTGATTGAGATAGCTGCTGGACTTATTGCCTGGTCCATAATTTGCTAGGCATTTTAAGACTGAACACATGCTCCTGCATAGCTTCGTCTAGTCTGTTTTTGAAGATGTTCATACTCGGAGCGTCAACGATGCTATATCAGGGAGGCTGTTACAGATATCAAGTGTGAATGGGAAAGACCAGTGAAAGTTATATATGAGAGATGTTTGTAAGCATATTCAATGATCGTCATATTGTGGGTGATTTATGTAACAATGTAAGTAACTCTACAAGACTGATTTAAGTAATTGACTGCTTCGAGCAGGGAGGTCGACGACGATCAGAGACAAGATCTGGAGCCAAATTCGGCAGCTGCGCAGCCTGCATTTCTCGCAGGTTTTCAGTCAGCCTAACTTGGTTGCCAAAAATCCTTATGAATTTAGAAATAAAACCGTTTCTAACTGTTATGAAATTCTCTGGGTTAGGAAACAGTTTAACTAGGATGGCAACAAGAGCTGCGGTGATGGCAGAATCCTGATTGCGATTTGCTCCGATGAATTGAGGAGAAATGACAAAAATCCATATCATAGGAAAATACTGGCATCGCCTCCAAAGTATACGACGTTAATTGAAATTTAGTAAACTACGTTAGTTTTAAGGAAGAACGCAAAACTGATTGCAAGTAATGAAACACGTAAATCACAAGTATACGACGTCAATTGCAAGTCGTGCATTTTTCATCAATTGACAACAGGCAATTTTTATACGTGCATTTCGTTTCACGAGTCAAGTACGGTCAGGAGCTGCGGCAAAATGAGACCTGGGGATTCGTGATGAGGCGAATGATACCTATAGAGATACAATTATAGCGGATCGGTTGGTTTCGAAACCGCTACCATTCAAGAACTTAGGACGGGGATTATAACACGAATTGTCGAAAATAGTGTTCAAAGTGTATTTTGTTAAGTATAGATCGAGGTTGCACCTGTAGAATGAACAAACGGCTATAGTACTAATTGCATAATACATATCGAGATGAATAAATGATGTACGTTATATAAGTAAATATTACAAATTAAATCAATATAACAGGAGCTATTTAATATCTTACCCCAAACATTGGCGGATCAGGCTGTTATGAACCTACGGATAACTGAATCGACGAAGAAACAAATTTTCAATCTATAAGTAGCTCGGATGGTTTGCGAAAAAGACAAATATTCTAGAAAATTAATAAAACTGATAACAGATAAATAGTGTCCCTACACAATAATTCCCACGATATGCGTTCGATAATTTTTTCATTGTTATTCAAGTGAGTACGTACTCTATATGTTTTGGACGCCCATGTTTTCAGCTGTGATTTATATTGCTGAGAAACAACAATAAGTACAGTAGGTTAACGCGTTCACTTTGTCTGTGCACTTGAAGAAAAGCTATTAGATTTTTATACCATCTGTATTCCACGCTGATAGCAACGCATGGTGGTGACCGTATTTTGGAAATGACAATTTTACTGCTCATGTATTGAAAGAACCTTCCAGGTAATGAATGGTCCTTATTAATCCGGTTACTATGAATAATTACTGTGCTTCCGTAGAGGTGATTGACGTATGGAAACAATTTCATTTTGAAATATCCTTTAAAAAAATAAAGATGTCATGATGTTTAGAAATGAAACTACAAAAATATAATGTAAAAAATCAATGAACCACACGCATTATCTATCGTTTCGCTGTTGACAACATATGTACCTGGCCATGCGACTTTTTACTGATATACCTTCACTGGTAAAGATTGAGCCTAAATGCGTCCTACCTCCGTCTTGTAGGAGGATTCCGGCTTCATCTCACTGGTGTCGGTTTTAAGTTGCTCCAGGAATTTCGCTCGCTCAACAATTTCGTTTAAATTCTTGCCTTCGCAGTCCTGCAGTAAAGAAGTGATGATGGCCCTAGAACGTAAGCCACTCACGAAGGCGTCGCACAGCATTCTGTCACTGCAGCAGTCCTTATAACCGCACGCGGAAGCCAGATCATTGATTATCAGTTAGCGTACGTTTCGATTGTCTCTGTAGAACTTTGCTTCCTGTTGAAAAACTTCACCGTCGCTCCCACTTCAGACTTCTTTGACTCAAATTGCGCAGTCAATTTGGGTAGAATGTTACTGCATGTTGCCTCTGACAGTTTGATGGGCTTAATTCTAAGCTGTAAATCAACTACTACCTTCACTGGCAAATCTTTAATGAGGACAGCAGCTTTCTTCCTGCCGTCATCTCCCGCCTCAGCTGCTCACCAAATTGCACTGTAATTCTTTCAACAAATTCGGAGAATGTTTCAATCTCCATGTTCAATTGTTAACACAAGTTTGCCATATTGTTTCACAATTCGAGTTGGAAGAGATTACTTCCGAAATCCTGTTTTTACTGTAACAGCCTTGTAGCCATATGTAGTATCCTTAATTACACTCGTGGTACAAGCAGAGACCAGTGCAGAGGAAGCAAGTTTATTCAAGGCAGGTTCACTAGAGACTGTCTCGACGGTGAAGACGAGGCTGAGCTTAATGTACAATAGAAAACGACCTATCTTATATTTAAAGGGCTAACATTCGTGAATATTTAGGCAATAAACACAGTATACAACGTTCATTGATTCCTACTAAATTTTAACGGCATTGTAATCCCACTAAATAACAAAATTACAGTCTATAATTGTATCAGGGGACTTGGAGCTAAAAAATGCAGTCACAAATAAAGAAAAAGGCTTAATCAGCATCTCCTATTGCAATGAAATAATTTCCAATAAACATTAAAATCTAGAAGAAAACCTTATAACGTTTAAAGAACATATCATGGAAAATGGCAAATTCTGTAAAAATATTCGAAAAAAATATTCAATTTCTTTAAAAATACCTCATAATTAACAAACTTTGTGAGCTAGATTCAGCTACAAAGTTTTCGGTATTTGTTCATTCATAACAAACGACCAGATATTGTGAGGGAATTAGCTGTTCAAATTCGAGGGCACGAGCTACGTTTTCAACTAAGAATTGTTCATCTAATCTAAAATGGATCTAAAAGCTTCTGTATTATTTTAAATCTATGATAGTTGTCTACATTAGGCATAAAAGGCAACAAAAATTCTCCCTTGAAATCTTAGCGAGATAGACACCTTGCACACTCTGAAAAAGGCACTGAAACTCGTTGGTAATTCTAAAGAAAACAAAACATCGTTGAACATGAATTGTGATAAATGGAAAAATGGTGAATTTGCCACGGCAAAGAATTCGTTACCTTAATATTGTATTATCGATAAGAAATAGCGACCACACAGATATTTAAACATTGTGACAGGTTATTCTTTAGTACGTATATTTTTTGTCCATTCAGCGTAGAGGAAAAGTTGGTCCAATTGAGTTCCATTTAATTAAAGAATTGCGCTAGAATAAAAATTCACCGCCAATGATCGTCAATAATGATCAGTTTTCTCAAAGACCTGACTTAGCATTGTTTTGCTCAGCACCACACGCTGTAGTTGCATGATCCGCCGGTGGAAATACATTGAAGTTGCATGCGTCAGACGCTGAGTTGAATCCTGTTATCTGTTCCAGTATGTTTATGTCGTAGGAGGAAACAGCGGAACGGGGAATAACTTCACAATCATCCACCACGGAGTGGTTATCTTGCCGAAGTTCAAAGACGTCCCAAACAACCACAAGCCTGTCGATTTCAATACGAGCAACTTCCAATCTTTTCCGAGTCGCTTCATGTTCACGTTTTTCAAGTGCAAGATCTTTCTGCATTTTTAGCAAGCTCGCATCTTTCGTAGCAGGTTCGTGACAGGGCTCGCGCAAGTATAAATCCATCTACAGGGTGGATTCAGACTTGTAGCTGGATTCTACTTGACGCACAACTCTGCATAACGAACTCTTTGACATGTAACTAAAAATACATGAATGAATGAATTAAATTTTCATGATTAATTAGGTATATTTCACCATGAGTCGTGACACGAAATGACAAGAATGAGATCTCATAGCTTAAAGAATCAACTTCCTGGAGCTTTTTATGTGTCCCAGACATGCACTGATTACAGAAACTAGAGTATCTATGCTGCGACATCGTGAGTAACATCAGCTGCCAGGCCCCTCATCAGATATGAATGCTAGTCTAATGAATAGTGCAGATTTATGAGATATGTGGTCAGTGCGTATGCATATATGCATTTTGAGTGTATATGCAATATTACTAAGCACGATGGATTCATTACTAAATTTAGACAGCAATAGCAACGGACACAAGCATAATAATAGTGGTGACTAGCATAGGCTGCAGTTACAGTTGAATGGTTTGCACGTGACCGGGTTGTTGCTCGTAGTGAACTGAACGGCAATGATGACGTAGGTCAACACGACAGATCCTATCTGCACAACAAATTCAAATGTATATTTTTATGCTATACAAAATATTTGAGAACGAATTAGTAAGTGAATGCGCAGCAATGCAATGTATTTAATCAGCAATAACTATTAAGAAGTGGTCAAATAATAATATTATTGATTAGCATAAATTGGCGCGAAGGTGGTACGCTATATTCACCGCTAGAATACAGGGTCGGCTGACTGAGGCGTAGCTACGGTAAAGTTTTACCCACTGCAAAAGGCAGTGACGGCCTAGCCGGCAGAGTATCTATGGTGCATTCCACTCACCGCCAAAAGACAGTGACGGCCAGCCGGCAGAGTATCTATGGTGCATTCCACTCACCGCCAAAAGACAGTGACGGCCTAGCCGGCAGAGTATCTATGGTGCATTCCACTCACCGCCAAAAGACAATCACGGCCTAGCCGGAAGAGTATCTATGGTGCGTTCCACTCACCGCCAAAAGGCAGTGTCGGCCGAGCTCGAAGAATCCAAGTATCGTAAAGCGCGGCATGCGCTCAAGCTCAGCCAAAATGCCGCGTAACTGCCACACTACCTGCAAAAATAAAACTCCCGAAATTCAATTCATTCGACTCGCGTGCGGTTCCAAAACTGTTTGCCAATTAACATAAATTAGATCCTATATATAGGGAAACACATTTTCCACAGAATACTCATCAGTCAAAACCCGCATTGCGGAACTTCACACGGAATTCTAGTGCATTCTGTGTGGAATTTTATTTGAGTATTATTTCCTTTCTAATGAATAAAACATAAAAGATTCAATTACCTGTGCGTAACGCGGCCCGAGTCCTCCCACCTCGGCAATGAGAGTCTTGGCGCGATGGACGCCCTCCTGACACTGTAATAAAACGGTACTTAAACGGTTGCAATAAAACGATATGTAAACGGTTGCAATAAAACGGCACTGCAATAAAACGGTATGTAAACGGTTGCAAAAAACCGGCACTGCATTAAAACGGTATGTAAACGGTTGCAATAAAACGACACTGCAATAAAACGGCACTGTAATAAAACGGCAAGAACATATGCTTTCTTACAAATAAACTTTAGTCTAAAAGAGTCACTTCTCCAATTCCAGCGGACACAATTCAAGAAAAAAATTTTTACGATGTTCCTGAAAAAAAAAAATAAATTTATTAAAGTGGCCAAGTGGTCATGTGCAACCACAGGTGTATAAACTGATTTTCTCTAAGCGCACTAAATTCTAGTAAATCGCTATAACATATTATCCTGAAAAGATTACTTTCAAGTTGAGTGGTTACAAAATAACACTTTTTTACAATCGCTTTCGTTATAATATTCATTCGTTACAATCGCTTTCGTGTAAATATTTATTCTCAAGTGGGTGAAAAGTTTTACATCACTTGAAATTTGATTATTGGAAATGACATAAGAACACACAAAAGGTATCGTAAATACGGTTCAAAATCGAAACTTACAATTATTCCGAGAGTAACTTCAACAACCTGCCAAATCCGGTAGTTTGCAATTAAATAGATAGCTGGTGACAAATCCTTGATGAAGATGAACAGATGAAAGAGTCTTCAATACAATAGTGCGAAATAACATCAGCTGCGCAACAGTAACTGACCAAATAAAACGCCTCACATACTACAAAAACGGAAATCAAGAAGTTAAACATGAAAATAACCCATGTAAAAGGCGGAACGCTGCAAGAAACCAATGTTATTTGCAAATTCTCCTATACTCAAGAAGGTTGTAGGCTTCTTCAAAATGTAAATTACATCGCTTTGACCAGCACAACCCTGAGTCGCCAACTCACATTCCACATACAAACTGGAGGACCAAGAACCACGAGACTATCACCCGTGCCACGTTGGAGGCCTGCACCAGCATCATCATGCGGTGCCCGATACTACTAGTGCATGATAGCAGAGGCTCTCCTCATCAAGGAATAGCCTCCATCAAGCTGCAAACCACCGGATTTGTCAGGACGTTGAAGTTGTTCTCGGAATAATTACCACGTTTTTCTTAGTTTCGCTTCGTCTCTGTCTGTCTGTCATCAAAAATTCAAACCTTAATTTAGAGCACTTCTGAAGATCCTAGAAACTTGAAATTTGGCATGCATGCTTATACTGCCTAACAATCACGTTTTTCTGGTGGTTAAAAAACTAAAAACAATGAAATAAAACATATAAAAAAAAATAAAAAAACACGTTTTCCTAACGGACAAAAAAGAAAAACATTAACTCTTACATGACATTCTACTTTCTACATAACTTTAATGTTATGTAAGAGTTAATGTTTTTCTTTTTTGTCCGTTAAGAAAACGTGGTTTTTAAAAGTTTTTTTTATTTGTTTTATTTTAAGTTTTGATTTCGAACCGTATATACGATACCTATTGTTGCTGGCGCCGGGAGATCAATAAGCAGGTTTCCAAATCACATTTTAATAGATTGAGACGTTTCGAAAATACACTTTTCATTATCAAGCTGGTGACAGTTTTACAACACTTAAAATTGAATTTTGGAGCACAATAGTGCATTTTTTCGTGGCGAGAACAAAAGTGCATTTTTTCCATAAATGAGAAAATGCGCTAAAAATGGCGATTCGTCATCTCTTTTCATATTTCACACAATCGTGGCTTCTCGTACGACATTGCCTGCAGGGTTTTTCTATTTACTAGCTGTGATACAGCGGCCATTAATCCTGTTAGGAAACTGCGATGTTGCGACAACAAGAAGGAAAGGTAAGCCAGATCATAAGGAGGGATTACTCATTAGTCATTACTATAATTTCACGAATGCGTGCACGTGCAACAAAGCGGATGATTAGACTTAAACTCACCACTTCTTCTTCTTCTTTTCAAGGTGTCCACGTTGGGTGGACTGAAAGCCACAGGACAGCCACAAGGATGACCGTTGGGCCTGAGAGCTTATGTTAAACTCACCACTTCGATGTAGCCGCTCTGGGAGTCGAGGATTAGCCAAAGCTTCAACGCTGATGGCACCGTGAACAACAGCAAAGACCAGAAATGTGTAGGCGATGAGTCATACAAAGCATAGAGAACGAGCAGAACCATGTTCAGTTGTTGATAAGCCAGAAGCGCCAAGATCACAACTGAAAACTGAGAGTGAATGAGGCCTGCAGTTCGATTGCAGGAAATCAGCTTCTTTTTTATGCGGTACAGTGAATTTGGTTTCTTAACACTTATCATCTTTTTCCATTCAGGAATTGTTTGACATCGCGTTGCATTATTATCTTCACGAAAGCGTGTTTTTCTTTCGTTAAGGTTCTCGCATGGATAAATATCTTTCACGGTGTTTTCAGAAGATGGGGATGCTGACGTTAGCCTGGCATCAGTTAGGTTGGCCAACTCACAAGTGAATAATTTCATTACTATGGATAGGAAGAGTGCAAGGAAAAAATTTAGTGAAAATAAAGCACTCAAATTGGCGATCAAAACCAAGTTAAACGAAAATTTTTCACCCATGTTTATGTTATAAATAGGAGCGTAGACCAGAGTTATCACATTGACACCGATTATCACATACGTGATCCAGTCAACAGGCAGAGGAGAGGCTTTGGAGCGGTTCAAAAATCTTACAATGCTTAAAAGTTTGGTCGATGACATAAGAAAATGCCAGGAACACGTCACCATGACAATACTGAGTGCTTGATCCCAGTAATTATTGAGATATTCATAAATTTCAGAGCTTGACGATGCGGGTTTCGTTAGAAGGAAAACCAGAGTCAAGGCAGACGATATCGTATGTATGGACGAACTCAGTCCTTGATACACGAAAGATTTCTTACAATTCCCTTCAACGTCAACGAATGGGGCGAGTCCCAGGATTCGTAAGTAACGCAGCAGCCACAGAAACAATCTTTTCTGATCACCAAGTATTTTGTGCGTTAGCGTCATCATGGTGGTTCTAATTCGCGTTCCAACTTTAATACAATTGAATAAATAGAGCTCTATTTTTGAGATGAAATGACTCGTATGAGAATAATTTGAACAAAAAGTCTGTAATTAAGAACAATTTGGACAGTTTTTAAACCTCACAAATGACGATGATTTTCTAGAGGAGGATAGTGCGAAAGTAGACTCGGTTGAGTAAAATTTTGTATTTATGTTTGAAGGCGGTTTTATGGGTTCATCCTCTGAAAACGGCTAAAAACCCATTTTTCCAGTGTAAGGAAAGAAAAACAGTGTAAGGAAAGTAGGCAAACATAATTCGGTGTTTTGAGCAAGTTCGCCATTTAGATGAGAAAAATGAAAATTTTCTTTCTTATTGGATTAATAACCACTCTGTAGACATATTCTCTAGAAAAGGAGCAATATAGTTGATCTCCGAACGATGGTTTTTTTCTATAAGTGGTCAAGATGTGACACCTAGTCGCACGCCTGAATCCTATAAAGTGCGCTCTATAGTCTGCAAGTTACCTCGAATGCCATTAAAAATGATCTAATCGCTTAAAAGCCTAAGATACAAGATTACGATCGATGGGCTTGTGTTACCAACGGATGAAGCAATTACTTTGTGACACTTAATATTGCATCGTTTGTCCATTGTTCAGGAGTAACGATTGCTCAAGAAATCATTGAATTAACAAGAATCTCAATTAGATTAAAGATTATAAATAATCTTGATCCCTTCGTATATTTATTAAATAGATAATTCAAAACATTCCTCTCTGTCAGTCTTACGCTGAACAATTCAGCTCATAATTGCACTAAACTGTAAATAAATTGTTCAGGCGCAGCAGTAATAAATTACTTTAGACAAAGGTACATGTTGATCCACGCGTCACAACTCAACGATCGCTAGCTTTGCACAACGACTCATGGATTGGCAAACTCATCACTCAAAAGCGCCCAATCATCAAAGGCTCAGAGTGATAGATGCATGTGAATTAAGATCGATGAAGTCGTCGACCACAAGTTTCATACTTTTATAATATATGAAAAGAATCAAACTAAATTCTAAACTCAGTTTATAGACGGCAAGATGAGTATCATCTCTAGTGTCATATATCAGAATCAAAGTTTACATTTTAGTCATGGTTCACTTAGCACTGAATTGAAGGCAGTAGCTGCAATCAGGGAGCCATTGAGAAACTTCGTAGTACAAGAAAACTGTGCATTCGTAGTCATGTTTGTCAGTAAATTCTGCTTAAAGCATATTTTAACGCAAAAAAAAAACAGAAAATGCAATAAAATTAGAAGTGTTAAATGCTCTGAAAACAGCGAATTTACGCTGATAAATGCAATTTCAGTAAGTGACTCATTTGCTTTGTGTTTTTGAAGTTACATGAGCGGTAGCTATAGCGTGTTGCTGAGAACGCAATACATTCCTTCGCTGGCTTAGGCTAATTCAGAACGGTGGTGGACTGGTGCATAGAGAGAGCTACCAACTTTGGCCCCAGCGTCGTTTGAATGCAACTTTTTTATGAAGTGTCAACTCCTTTGTTCATTAAGACGGTAGCTCTGCTACAGAACCTCGAGTAAGTATGATAACATCTACCTTCTACCCCATTGACTACAATCCCAACTGTTATATTCGGAACTGCAAAATTCATGTTTAATATGTGAGGCAGAAGGAAACTAAAATTCACATTTAAGATATTAAAACATAAATTGTTTAATGAAAACAAATAAGAATGAGGTAAACATATAAGCAGACACGACTGTCTATTTACAATTTCGAGGGGATATGAACTGTAAGCAGCATTTAGACGAGGCTCTTGTTTAACAATATACAAGACTCTAAAATTCGCAAGTCACAAGGTCTTATGCGATCGTCCATAGTTTATCGATATATTTGTGCGGAGTGCGCATCTATGTATGTCGGCATGACGTCACGTATATTTATACAAGGCTGGCGGAGCATAAAGAAAGGATGTTTTAAACAGGAAACCTGCTTGCGCATCCCCCTCACTCAGCAGTAAGGGTTCATGTCGAGCTGTGAAACGTCCCGGTGTCCGATGGTGACTTTAGAGTTTTAGCCTTTACAACCGGTTTTCTGACCTGCAAATTTTAGAGTTCCTGTATATTTTTAAGCAAAAGCCTAGTCTTAATTTGTTTTCATTTGACAATGTATGTTTTCATTTCTTCAATGTGAATTTTAGTTTGTTAATCGTTTGTTTTTTGTGTTTTAGGTTCACAATGAAGCTGGACTCCGAAACGTTTTCTTGCATATGAAATGATGAACTTTCTGGCTGTTTTCTTTACTTTTAAATTCTTGAGTTAGTTCCGTAAACGCTTGCTCGGAACATGACGAATCTGTGTATTAAACCGTGTCTACCTGCAATGGAATATTCTGGATTTGGAAAAATATTCTGGATTTGGAAATATTTTAGTGAAAATATTTAAAGGAGATTTGAATACAGTTGTTGAATACTTTTATTCAAATATTAACATATCACTGCGAGCAAATGAATTGAACGCAAATTATAACTGTCTTGATCGAGTAACATTCTGAAATGTTTTCTACAATATTGTTATTACTCCGTATTTATGTTGATCTCAAAAGTGGCAGGGTTGTTTGAATGTGAGCTGAATTTACCTATACTTTTTGAATGGAGAAGATTATTATAATTAGAAAATTTGATTTATACCATGATGGTATAAATCACAAAAATGGTACAGAAAAATTTCTCTTCACATCAGCTGGGTTGTAAGAGTCTTTTCAATAATTGTTTGGAAGTAGAATTAAAAAGCCTTGAAACGAGAGCAAACACCAAACGAGTAGTCTTTTAGTATGGTTACTAAGACTGCTGGAATATCCATAGCCAGCAGTGTCCAGAAATATATATTTTTTTCAACTAGTGGCGACATTATGAGTGTCCTAAAAACTGTGAAATTAAATGAAAAAAAAAAAACAAAATTACAATGAGATATATGAAACACGAGAAAAATTACCAGTGAAAATCTAGATATGTACAAGAAATAATAAAAATTAAGTAACGAGAAAATAGATCTATTGATGACACCATTTTTTAACAACAGATATATTACTGACACCTTTCTTATTTTCAAACATTCCTCTCATGTGGGCCTTTTCTGTGATTATCTTAGCCTCACCCAACGATGAAATTTATTATGCCGATGGTAGCAACAACAGTGGCCTCATGGTTTATCATTTTTCGGTTTACCATATCTATGTAGTAAATCTACCTTATAGTATATAGTAAATAAAATAGTATACTATATTGCTTTCAGACTTCCGTGTACCGCAAACCGATTCTTAATGTTCAGGGCATGAGTTTCTTTAGCTTTGTTTATTCCGTTTCAAATTGATATTTAAATTATATTTAATTGTTAAGTCTTCAAACATTGCTACACCGTGTCTATAATATTTGTTCCTCCTTCTATGATATGCATTCTGCAATCAACTTTATTCGTAATTTGTTTAAACTGCATGTGTTTCCATCGTGCCTTTAGTTTAGTAAAATAAACCGTTTTACGGCAACAAATATTCTGATTCTGTTACTGATGTTAACAATAAGAAAACTATTTATTGTACTTTCCTCTATTTTGATAGCTCATCTGAAGCGATTTTCAGAGAATTGAAAATCTTATTCTGAAATATTTTCCAGATACCCTCCGCCGAGCTTTTTGGACGGAACATAAGTTCAAGTTTCGAGGGGACAATAAATTAAGAGGGACAATAAATTAAGTGAGACAATAAATTAAGCGGGACAATAAATTAAGTGGGACAATAAATTAAGTGGGACAATAAATTAAGTGGGACAATAAATGCTCTCAAGCACAGCACCGACAGTGTAAAATGGCCGTAGAGGCGTCGTGTTTAATTTTTACTGTAATATAATTTGTGTAATCTGTTCAAAGAAATTCAAATTAAGTTCAACGAAATTGAAATAACTTATGATCAAATGACTTTATATATCACACACACATGAGCCAGCTGTCTACAAAATACGATCAAACATTTAATCATTTTTACCAAGAATTTTCAAATTTTCAGCATTGAATTTTTTTTACCTAATCTCGATTTCCTTCTATTCATCTAATGACAATATTCGTGTAAACACGTTAAGAGTGAAAAGAAATACTCTTGCAGCTAGAGAACAAACATCAAACAGTAGACTTTAAACTTTACAAGAACTTCTCGTTGACCCAAAGAATTTCATAGCAACACGAAACAGTTTTGTTGTAAAACTCATACGGACTTCTAGCTACCAAGTTTGGCTGACTGAAGACCTGTAAAAAATGCAGGCTGCGCAGCTGCCGAATTTGGCTCCAGATCTTGTCTCTGCTCGTCGTAGACCTCCCTGCTCGACGCAAGTAATGTAATATTTGATTGACGCTACCAACAGGACCAAGCCCTCGTGAAGATACATTATAAAAATAAATTTTTGTCAATAATGTTCTATTCCTTGAAAAAAACGATTTGGATGAATCAATCACTCCATATCACTAGAATCCTTCGACTCAGATTAGTTATTCTCGAACTGAATATGGACAACGAAGCACAAGAAATTCCCTTCGGTGAAGATAAGTAGACACTAGACAAAAAAATTCGCGGAAATAAAAATAAAAAAACTGTGATGAAAACCTATCAAAATTGTTCAAAACTTATCAAAAAGCATTCGATTATTAAAATTTCATATAAAAATTTAAATTGGAAATCTCTTTATGCCTCATTAAAGCTGTGAACTCCAGGAATTGTCTTGCCCCACATTTCATGGTTATCCTCGTCTCGGTATTTTTTCGAACTATTAAAATTATAAATTGTCTAACTTCCAATCGCTAATCGAAACAAAGCTTTGACCATCGCCTCGTCGCATCTCGATTACAAAAGAACTAAACACAGATGTGCGTTAATCATTTTATCAAATTTCGGGGTCGACCTTTCAAGCACTTTACTGTAATCCAATTGTTCGAGGCCTAGTTCGGCGTTCTCATGAAACTCTCACCTGGGTGGATCTCCATGCCGATCTGCTTGACGTTGGCCAGGAGTTCAACGTCGTCGCTAAGGACGTTGTTGAAGAAATCAACCTCAGATCCTTCGATGTCGATCTTGAGGTAGTCGATGACGCTGTTTGACTCGTTGATCTTCTTCAGAACATCACGATACGTGTATACCTGCCCAATAATCTATCGACCATCGTTACTGACAGATGACTATATACAACTGATAGATAATCTTCAGTTCAGGAGGCTATGTAATAGGTTGGACTGGCAAGAATAACGTAAATAATGGTCGAATCAAAACAGATGAGTCGTACCTACGAGACTTCGAGTTAACGGACATGGTGATCGATAATGCCTGACTAACACTGTATGAGGCCCTTGAATAACACATTTGATGAAGTCTGCCCATCACCATTCTTGTTCGACAAACTTGGCTATTAATTACATGACGATTTGTTGGATATTTTACCACAATTCGATATCTTTTGATACTATTTTATTCATTTTTGAAAATGTAAAGCAATGCGTAAAGTGTAATTTCTAGAATTGTGACGCGCTGCATTGCCTTATGAATCACGATTCAAAATTCATTCCCGTTGATAGCTAGAATTTTGTATTGAGTATTTTTATGAAGTGAATTCAGAAACGCAAATTGATTCTATAATTTTAATTAGTTCGTCATGGCTTTTAATTCTGTCATTGCCAAGTGTTCTAAGGTGTACGCACATTTTGAAGAGACTTTGATTAAGGTTCTGAATCATTATTTTTCATTTTTTTATGAAGAATTTCGAAATTATACCTTTTCATTTCGAATATGAACGAGCTTGACTCCTATTTTCATTCAAAGGTTTCAATAATTAATTGTAATAGCTTAAATTAATTAACATCACGAACATTTATGGTGAAATTTAATTAAAATTCCTTTGTAAATTCCTCTATCTAACACTAACTTCATCTTCGATACCAAAAATTTTTCAAAATTCCCGGCAGAGTTCATTTGGATTCGCTAACGTAGTTACTATAATTTGAGCATTTTCTGTGAACCTCAATGTTAAAAAAGAAAATTTATGCCATTAATAAATTTCATTCACAAATTATCTAAACGAATTTAAATTATTAAATTTAATAATTAGTCACCGGTGTTTTATTATTCCTGAATGTAACTTGCCCAGTGGCGCCCCCCAGCCCCCAGGGCTGGAAGTGGATTTTGTGCCTCCTGAGGTGAGCGCGCCGCCTCATGGACGGGTCGAACGCGTACACCTGACATGAACGAACTCAAAGAATATTGTTAGCAACCACAACGTAGGCGACTGCTTGAAATATTGTTAGCAATATTGTTTGCACTATTGTTAGCAATATTGTTAGCAAGCACAACATATGGGACTGGCGGTAGAAGTAACGCCGTCTGGAAGGAAAGTTCTTATCAAACACTGACTTGATGTTAGAGACGATACAGCGCGCTGACTTGAAAGAACATTTTTAATACAAGCCTCAGATCTTAGAGACGATAAACGTGCGCCAATTTCTAAGAAAATTTTTAATATAAGTCTTGTATATTACACTCGATAAACGTGCGATAATTTGAAATAACATTTTTAATACAGACCTTTTATATTACTGAAAATACACGTGCGCTAGACTGAAATAAATACTCAATAAATGCTCCGTATATTACAGACGAAACTCTCCGCAGAGTTGAAAGCCACTTGCTTAATATTGCACCCAATGTTACAGTTGATACTACATAGTGCAAGACGGTGCAGCATCATGACCACTACACGAACGTTGATACATTCCAATTGGAACCATTACGTACGTTTAGAATTATAAGCAAATTTAATCTTACTTATTTCAGCCAATCCTCACCTTACAGCCGTACTCCTCCATGGCGTCGTCAAAGCTCCACTCGTTGTTGATGCCGAAGGAGAGGACGGTGCAGGAGCCTGGAGTGGGAGCAACGTTGGCGTCCAAACAAACGGCCTTTTCTCCGTCAATTATGCGTGAACGTCCGTATTTAACTCCTCCAAACGTTTTCTACGCGCAGAATTAATAAAATGTTGTTGAGAATTTCTTAATAAACACACGCGCTTCGTTCAGCATTCAGATAATCTAGCAGTTCAATTTGTTGATGCCGAAAGTTTCTGCATATTTAAGTCATGAACACTTGAACTGAGGATAAATTCCTCTTTCATTATGGTGGATAAGATGCTGTACATTCGTTAGGCTCAAGATGCGATCTAAACATAGAACAATATATAAATGTTCTGTATTATCAATGAACAAAATTTCTCTACCAATGTATGTAGGTCAGTAGGCAACTTACAAGACTTTTACAACCGGCAGCTTCCTCTATGTATTCGAAGAAATTCAACCATGTTATATTTGTCTCCGGAGTAGAACTGATGACCGGAATTTCTGTCATCAGCTCATCGACATCAGGTTTCGGTGCGTCTCGATGCTGTGGAAGTGGAACGTCCAGGTAGTGGTGAGACTCTGTGTCTGTAGCTAGGGAAAGGAAATTGTTTTCATGATATGAATATGATGAATAATATAAAACATGCTAGCGATTGGCAGCGTAAAATCATTAGAATATCATGGTATTATTTCTACGAAGATACAAAACATGTAATGTGCTCATACAAGACTAGATTTTAAGTGGCATAAAATTAGAAAAACTGACATTTATTTAGACATTTGCATGCGTTTATGATATAACAACCAATGAATGTCACTTGAATTTTTCACTCAGATTTCAAGATTTTGTCGATTTCTATAAATTAAACGAAAAACGATAAGAAGCATGAAAATAACTTACCTGAATCCTGGCGAAGGATTTCTGCGTTAAGCTCAGATCTGTAGGATTACAAAATAGGTGATTAAAGATGAACCAGTGAGCTTTGCTCTGCTTTATGAGGTTGCTCTGCTGCATGCAAAATGATAATTAAAAATTTGAGATAGAATTGCTCATCGCTATACTCACCCTCATGTTATTGGACTTATTCATAATGTTACACAACAATCCCTTTCCCAGACCAAGAAGACAGATTTAATTAGACTGTTCTTCACTTAAGGGGACCGACCTAGCAAACGGAAAACTTCTACAGTTATTATCCGATTGTCATGAAACTTCACATACATACGTAAAATGTAAAAAAAAAAACATTTTGCTCCTATAAATTTTTCGAAAAAATTGATAGAAAACGTGAAATTCATAGAAAACGGCTAAAAAGGGGTACTTCTCCTCCCACAAATATCATCCTACAACATCGAGACACGTATCATTCGATTCGTAAAGACCATATCTATCGACTCTAACATCACTTTTTTCATTTTCTACCTAGTTTTTTTTTATGACGTTTTTTCCCATTTTTTACATTTTTCACCCCTGCCCCCCCCCTTCTTCCCCATATAAAAAACGAACCAGACCGAAATTCAAAAAAGTGATGTTAGAGTCGATAGGCCTGGTCTTTACAAATCGAATGGTATATGTCTCATTGCTGTAGCTTGAAAACTGTAGGAGGAGATAGATTTGCGGTGAGAGCAGTATGAGGTTTTCAGGAGGCCCAAAAGACTGCCCGCGAGCACTTAAATAGACGTAAAAGAGTCGCAACGCAGCCAGGATACCGTAACTTAGCTTTAAACCATTCAAGAACGTATGGAGCATCTGGCTGCACACCTTTCACGTCGCTGTCATGATGGGCATCCCCCCGTTCTATGGGGCGTGGTGCAGTAGAAATTGGAGGTACAAAGATGGGTGTACCACCAATCGATGCGTAAGAAAGTGCTCTTTCAAACAAGACTATGCCCACTTTAGTGCCATGATTGGCTGCTTAATGCCAGGCCTTCCTTTGTGGAGTGACCAGCGCGTCATTTATCCGCGTAGAGTTTTGTTAAGGGACTTAAAACCCACCTCCCTTTGAGGAGCTGTCACAAAGTCATTTTTCGACGCACAGGGACGATACTTATATCGTTCGATGCGCAAGAAAACAACCTTTAAGATGAGATAAGAAACAGAAAAACTCAAAATATTCAAATTTTAGCTAGGTCGGTCCCCTTAAATCTTTATCAATAATTTCCGGATTTACACATGTTGCATTCAACACTATATAGTGCCAAATAATGGCACCCGTGAAAAAAATCCTCAGGTTTTATTATACTAAATGCATTTCTTGAATAATATGCAGGAAAATATAATGTATATGAAGTGAATACATTTGTTATAAGCTAATTACATTTTCTGTACATTAACGAATAATTAAGTTGATTTACATGCAGTCATTCACGGATTTGCCTTCAGATCTGCGTTGTTTCAACACTTTCAATCTGTTGTTCTATAACATATCTTGAACATGTCTTAATAAACATTCAGGACTTTATATGTTTGGAATCTTAGTGCATTAGCCTAAATTAGCAGGTGTCAAATCTGCTTTACATTTGTGCAAAGGATCTCAATGATCTCGTTGAGGCTGTACGTACCACTGTGCAAGGGGTGGTTAGAAATTTATTGAAAACGAAAGCCAATCAATCAACTATTGTTTGTTATGTAAATTAGTAGTTTATCGTCTCTAAGGTGATGATTGACTAACTCTAAATTCAAAACTTGCTATAGCAACAGTTACATATATTTAATCGCTCATATTCATATCACCTTAATGATTTACAATGACACGAAATGCAGAAAATTATTTACTAAAAAATTGTTTTTAATAATTGCTGTGATCTGAAGTCATTTCATAAACAAAAGGCCTTACTGATTCTCTTTTGCTTGATGCCTGCTCATATAGTTCGGCGATTTCAGCACTAATTCAATAGCTAAATTTGAAAAGTAAAGCGATTATCCTCCTGCCTGACTTTTCTACACGTTCTGACAGTACATATTGGGATAAGTATATGCTGTACAATAAATTATTAGATCTTAAATCATGTGTATACTCATATAGAACAATTCGGTGATTTTATAGATTGAATAACGATTTAACTTATAATGATAAAGCTTATTAGGAGGAGCACATCATGCGAGAGCCGTTCAAGAGAGGCAGCCGTTCATCGGTAAATAATTTTAGGGTCCACAAGGATCTAAATATTATCTTACTCTTATTCAAGTCCATTCAAGTACTCTTCCTTTTTGCACGTCACGAAAACAACAAATTTACCTGTGTGTTTTCTTCCTATACAACAGTTTGTGTGTTAAGCAATCAATTGGACAGATTCCTTTTATAAACATGACTAAAAATGTCTATTCATTTCTAGAAATTCCTTCTACCTGATTAAGTTGATTCGAAATGTTAAGGCCAACTTACCCACCCTGCGTGGACCGACTCGTGAATCTGAGCGTAACTGTCACTGTGCTCACCGCTGCCATTATATATAGGAACAGAAATCGTCTTCTGACGCCGATCATGATGTTCACTGTTCCTAATTGCTGCTGTTTTTCTAAGTTGCAATGCTTAATTGTTATGGATCACACTTGACACAGAAAATTTTTAGCAAATCTCTCAACATTCACCAACTGTTAACATTTCTATACGTGATTTAATTTTGGGAGATTTATCAGAATAATATTGACACTAGCTCAGTAGTCGATGGATAGTGTAAGACTCTGTCACTTCGTTACTGCTCTTCAAGTTAGTCAAGTTTCAAAAACCACCAGCTACGACGCTTAGATGACCCAGGGTCGTTGTGACGCTCTGATGACGCAGCCTCGGTCATTTTATTCCACCTGTCTAACAACCTTCCCGACTACCAGAAATGAATGTTCCAAATATTTAGAAATATGTTAATTAAGATTCGCTTTCCTAATTCTATCGATTCCACATTACATTGATAATTAATGCCAACTGAATGATGTTCCGAAATTCCTGCCTTTTGTACCACATTGATAAGCAAGGTGCTACATTACGCACGAAAATTCTATCCGTCATTAAATTTTTATTTCAGAAAAGACAACAATAATTAAAGGATTGATCACAAACAATTTTCTCAAATTTTATAGTATCAATCTAACATTTTATTGTACTTTATGGTTAACCAATTCAAAAATATTCAATGTATGAAGTATTTATTTCGTCGGCATAAGTGGCGTATTATGTTTAGGTTCTGGCGAAGTGACCATTTTTTCATTGATTTAGAATTGGTATTTTATAACTAGCGAAACCATTGAATTAACGGAGTGAATCAAGCATTATCATATAAATCTAAGGAGTTTGTAAATGCTCTTAAATGAACTGCAGTGTCTTAACCAGCCTGCCGGTTCAACAGTGGCTGCAGGTGGACTGCGACAACTACAACGAAGTGAGAGAGCTGAAAAATAATCAGATTATCTATTGATAAAACTGAGCACGTTGCACAATAACCCGGGCACCGGCCGCTATTGTCTCATGCATAGCTGATCGGCAACCATATTTCCCGAACTTCTTTGTTAATCTCAGAAATTGCTGTGGCTATTTCGGGGAATAAAACGTACCCAAAATTTATAATTAAAAATTTTACGTCGGCATGCGTTCTTCTGTTTAAACGTTTTGTGAGTAACAAAGGAAATCGTTCAATTATAAGCATAAAATACAAGCATTCAGGGTCACAGTTTTCACCGAATTGAATTTTGGCTAAATAAATAATCTTAAATTCGGTCGAGATTCTCACGGCTATATAGAGTAGACACTTATTTTGTTGTTTTGTCATTGACGATAAACGATGCAATTGGTGCTTGAAGGGCCAATTTTAGTAATAAAATGTTTATCTTTCTGCCCACGTATGAAACAAATTATATAGATTATATTCAATTTAAGCTCAAAAATTTAGTCCCTACATATAAATTTTAACTATAAAAACTTGAAGTATATTTAATTTCAAAGTTAATATGTCCACCAGTAAATGTATTCAAATATTAATTTTAATGTCATTACTTGTTTCCGTAGCACAAAAGTCCAGTTTGGCTCTAAAACATGAAAACGACAGAATTAGGTTCAACCGCGACGTCCGCATTAATGATTTATAAGAAATTCGCAAATGTTACATTAGGTATGGACATGAAGTTCACCCAAAACAATTTTCCTTCATGCAGCTAGCCTTGTGTATATATGCTCTGATGGACTCACGCTGAAGCCGGAATAAGTACGACACTCGACAAATGCTGGAGAATATTTATATAAATAAGAATCTGAAATGATAAGTAATTTGGATCAGGCATTTATAGATAAACACACGGGTACTTCTCATTATTTAGTACTAATTATGATTATTAAAGGACGGAAGCAGCTTAGATGTCGACCACGAAACAGTAGGTTCCGTATTCTTGAAAGTTTTGATCACGTATCTACGAAACGTATTCAATTTGGGAAAATCCTTCACTGTACGCCCTACACTGCTTCACCAACACTGAATTGATTGTGATCTGCATCAATTTTCAGCGTCAATTTTCAATGATTTATTTCACAATTTAATTTTAGTAGATAAAAAATTTTAAACTCCCTTTGTTCAATACGAGGGGTGTCACCAAGTTATCACTATTCACGTTATTTACTATTTAACAATATTTTCAAATGACATTTTCGAGTCTATTTTTTTACTGGAGTTATTCTGATGAAATCCCATCTTATTTACTCCCAGAGATGAACTTAATGGATGGTCTTCCAAGCGGCGTGCACAGCGAGTAGAGAACAGTACCTCCGAGTTCACTGACTGCAACTCGCGGTATAACATATAACACAAATGGTTACAGTATCAGCTAAACAAATGGTTCAAATGAAAATAGAAAACTTCACTGTTTAATAAAAAGTTTTATTATGTATAGATGTCATCTCAAGATAATAATATTCTTGTTCTACTCGTATGGACAGGGTATAGAATTTCACTCGTATACGAAGTATATAGCTTACTTTTATAATGACATATTTTACTTTTTGCTGTCCGCTGGTGAAAAAAATATGTGACTAGTCCTCTTTGCATCTATTCGAATCTGCAAGGGCATTTTTAACTAGAGTACGAAGCAAAAGAGGGATGAAGTGGAAGAAAAGTTCGCTGATGCCAAAAAATTGAAGATTTATCGGTTCTAGCTAACAAGTAGCGATGTATCAAAACATTTTCTGAATTCGATGCCGAAAAATTAAGGAGCTTTGTCCTATAAAAATATATAGAAGCAATATAAACATGAGTACTTTCATCCTGATGCTCATGTGAATATCAGTATTCGCTCATAAAATCACTACGTCATGAAAATGATCAGCAATGCTAAGCGTCGACGCTTTCATGAGCTTATCGATACTCCTCAAGAACGGCCAGGCAGTTACGTCTTAATCTCTGATTCAACAGAGAACAGAAATGAGCAGACATCATTCCTCTAGCGAACTCATTTTATGTCATCATTTTAGATTCTTCGATAAATGCGGAAAATATTAGCTGGAAGCTGCCATAGAAGTGAATTATTCCTACTTCTTAAGGGAACATGTTCAGGTGTAATTTCAATATTTCCTCATTTTTCACAAAATGTACGAAATTGTACGACAGAAGTATATGAGAAAACCAGTCTTGGTACACGTCTATGAAGTATAATAACTATATAGTTAGTCCTTAAATATAAAAAATTATATAAGTCAACTTTTTTTGGGATTACATTTTCAAATAAAAAATTTTTATGATCAAGGCGTGATATGTTTATTAAAATAAAAAAGTAGATTTCATTTCAAAGCAGATTTTCATACAGGTGACTTGGAATCGAAGAGAAACTGGTCATTTACCCAGAGCAATTCATAACACATAGAAACAGTTTTGTTCTCGAATTTGTAAGGATTGCCGCCAACCATGTTACGTAGACTTGAAACCTGCGAGAAGTGCAGACTGCGCAGCTGCTTAATTTGGTTCCAAATCTTGTCTCTGAACGTCGTCGACTTCCCTGCTCACAGCGGCAAATTATTCGTACTTTGTATGAGTGTGCATCCTCAACCGCAACGTACTCGCAACTTCAATCTAAACCGCATTTAGATAACTACAATCAGATCATGCCTTTTAGTACCTGGATACATCGATCATTCCAATCATTAACATAGAGCATATTTACCTCGATTTTTTTAACTAATAATCGTCAATTTTAAACTGATATTATTCGTAATTTAAAACTTCCGACCTCCAGTTGCATCGATCTTATTTTTGCAAACATGGAACCATGGCAGTTTCGCGCGATACGTTTCGGTTGTATAAAAGTGTAAGAATTTCGTAATGTTATCAAGCCTGTCTCGACACATTATATTGGAAAATGCATGATTGAGTACATTTACAGACTTCGGCTTACAGTGTCCTACTGGTGAGAGAAATATGTGCGCCACTACACATTATAAAAATGCACAAATTTATTTTGAACATTTCTACATTAACTTCCCAATATCGTTTTTTTTTTGTTGCTTACATCATCATTTATTCAATTTTTGTATAGTAATTGTCGTTGTACACTAAGGGAAGAAGTACGTAGTGTACAACGGAAGAAGTACACTAAATGGGTACGTTGTACACATTTTCCACGCCCAAATTGAAACATGAAATTTATTTAAGCACTGAACGAATTTCAGACCAGTTTCTACCCAGTCGTTTATTTGTGTAAAACCAGCAATAGGAGTGAATATACGTGGGTTAATGGGGCAATCAACAGTAATTAAATCATTTTTATTCATTTTTCTCATTACGCGAACATCTTTAATCGACTCATTAGAACTCATTAGAATAATATTAACAATGTAAATACGAATAACTTCATTCTAATCGCATATTATTTCTCTGACCAGCTACGCGCAAATCATTTAGGTAGTTCTTACAGCCTATTAATAACAGCCGCAAAATTTACAAATCAATTACAATTTTTGAATGAATCTCAAGGACGGAAAATCACAGTGAGTGGCATTTAAATTGAATATATAATTTAAATTAGTTGTTTAAGTTAATTAATTTAAATTGAATTCGCGGTTTAAAAATTGTGAATTGAATGTCAACCACAACGGGACGGAAGAGCTCCGGGAATTGATAGCCATGCAACCAGTATAGTTTGATATCAGTCAGAACTTTATCAGATGCTTATCTACCCAGACACTCAACGCTGAATGCACTAAAGATGCCAGTAATTAACGGACTAGCGTAGAGTGTGTCACACACCTAAAACAACAGTTTACTGCCGGGTCGCCGTTATTATAATAAAAACGGAGTGATGAATATCATAAAATGATTATGCTTTTCATGATTAAATATCATTGGCCGTATCTTTATTAGTTAATTTTAACTGATGAGGCAACTGGGCGAATATTAGTAGCGACCGATAATTCCAGCGCTTCTGTTGCAATAAGAAGAAAAGCTGAAAATTATTAATGTCTCAAGGGGCCAATGAAGTGAAAATGCTTGTCATTTAGCTGAGCATCAGTCAATGCTAATTTGTGACGCCGATTAATTCCGTATTAAGATGGTGTATGGGTAAGATGGTGATTGACTTATCAAGAAAATTTTAGGAGTAGAATATATTCGGGAATTTTGGATGCTTCACATAATATATTACTCAGTACTCACTGCAGCGAGTGACAGAGAGCGCATTTTCTCGTCGACGAAAACGTGAAGTCACGGGCTGACAGACGGACGGACAGACAGACGGACGGACATGACGAGCACAATAGCGTCTTCCTCTCCATAAATAAGAAAATGTGCTAAAAAGGCGTAACATAATTTTGGCAAATTTAAAACTTCGGCCAAGCTAAGGGCGTGAATCGCGCACCAAAAAGGATCAAGTTTTTGTTTGAACAATATTAGCTTAATTCTATCCAATATTTATTTGTAAATTATTCTCTTAGAATCACATTCTGATCTTATCCTCCATAAAACATAAGTCAAGAATATAATTTCTAGAATGTTGCATTACTAATAAGATAAACTTCGGAATCTATGTGAACAGTACGACTTACAAATGTCGAACGAAAACTTCAAGCGTGTGGAGGAATGTGTATGTGATTGAATGTGCATGTGACTGAATGTTTATGTGATGGAATGTGGATATGTAGGAATGGTACTTTCATTTTTAAACACAAGTGGTCGTCACCATTAGTCTGGCAGCACCCATTTTCACCCAAAATTTATTTTCAATCGCCAGTTAATAATTGCATGAATGAGCATGATTTTTATCCTATTTTTATGCCCTTTCTTGAGCGAAGTATACAATATTCCGGGACAATTCCGGGTTAAACTAACCCGGAATTTTCCGGGTTAAACTAAGAATCTTTCAATAGAAATAACGGGAAATGAATCACGATCGATAAATCACGATCCGTTGAAAATGTACACGATAAATGCTGGCGTCTGAAGCTGGTATATGATCAACGTTAACAAAGGTAGCTTTCCAAATAATCATCTGTGGAGAATTTCGCTGCTTATGACTGCTCTTATGAGCGTTTTTTTACATAGGTGATTATTATCTCTAAGGATGTAATTATATTTAAAAACTTCAAAAGTTGAATTGTTTCAATTCTATTTCTCTTTGCAGATGTTATGCAGTGCTTTCGAATGAATTTATTATCATAGGTACGATCCTGATTTTTTTTCTCCAGAAATATGCCTATTAAATTGAGAAAATTTTGCATTGCTTTAAATCTGTTTGTATGCCTGATGATTTTGTGTTATTTTGTGTACATACAAAAAAACACGACAAAAAAGTTCTTACCTAAAAGTAGCATGCCTCTCGACAAGGAAGAATGTGATTTGCCTTGGTGGGATGGAGCTCTGGACAACTGCAATGCAATCCAAAATCAGTTTATAGCTCAGAACAATAAGACTCGTAGCTATTGCGGCAAGCGGGCAGACTTTGCTGGAACTGGTCAAAATGTAATAAGCTTCTGTTTTTTTGGAAATTTTACTGCCTACGCTTCTGGGTTTCCAGAGATTCTGCAAGCCATTAAAGAATTTTATCCTGGTTGGCTTGTAAGGCTGTACACCGAACCAACGAAGTACGTACAGGAAGTTGGGCCGCTCATGCAGCAGCACCCGAACTTGTACGTGTGCGACGTGACCAACCTACCGGGCAACATCACCGACTTACGAGGACTGGATTCTCGGCTATGGAGAGTAGCTGTGCTGGGCGACGAGACAGTTGACGTGTTCTTGTCTCGAGATATAGATTCCGTGGTGAGAGACATTTAATGTAGCGTAATCAGGATGTACGGCGTGATAGCAATTTATGGCAACCCTGGCACTGTCATGCATGTTCCTGTTGTGCACTATTCATCGCGCACGTTCTAGGTACTCTAGAAATTGCACTGATTTATTATGATCATTTGTATACCCAGGGGACATCATAATATCCGTCAATTTCTGCTCAAAATTCTTTAATTGAATGAAGGTCTAGACTCCAGACCAATGATTCCCAAACTTTTTCAGGCCGGCGCCCCCTTTGGCTCCCTAGTGAATTTCTAGCGCCCCCCTCAGACACATATAAAAAAAACATACGCTTCTTTATTGAAATTTAACACGCTGCAATTTTAGAAGATAAAGGTTAAACACAAATGTATATTTCACAAATAGAACCCATTTAGTGAACCAGTGTTTTTAAGCTGTTTTAACTGTTTCAGCACTAGAAACTTGGGACATCTCGGGCAAATGTACGGCTGGACTCGTGGCCGGTCGCACGACGATCTCCAAATTCAATTATCAAGTAATATCTCCCAAACTGATGAACACAGCTCAATGAAACTTGGAACATGTATTTATCAGAACCTAACGGTGATTTTTTGCTCTTAAATTTTTTTTTAATTTCACCTTCATTCGTGAGTTTTATTGCGATACAGGCCGAAATTCGCAGTGATCTATGAATTTCTTTCAAAATATACTAACAGATTTCAACGAAAATTTGAATATACATTCCTAACTACCAAACGGCGATTTTTTAGCTTAACAAATTTTTTCGATTTTACCTGCGTTTGCGAGTTTTTTTCTTCATTTCACCGCCATTCTTGATTTTACACTTCCTTATATTCGGCCCGTATCGCCGACTAATTTGTCGCTTAAATTCGCGGCGATCAAGAAATTATTTCTAAAATACTGAACAGATTTCAACGAAACTTTGTATATAATAACCTAACCTCCCAACGGTGATGTTTAGCTCGAGAAAATTATTCTAATTTGCTTTCGTTCGCGAGTTATACAGATATAGGGGGAACGACCGGCTTTTTTACCGGCCAGTTTAACCCCGAGCCGTTTACGTATACCCGTATACGTATAGCCGTATAACTCGCAAACAAAGGCAAAACGAAAAAATTGTAGCGAGCTAAACATCACCGGTGCTTAGATTAGGTATTTAAATACTAAGTTTCGTTCAAATCTATTCAGTAGTTTTGGAAGAAATTTCTTAATTACTGACAATTTAAGCACGTATTGCTGCTTAAATAACAAATGAATGTGAAATGAAAAAAAAAACTCGTGAACAAAGGCACAATCGAATAAATTTTCACGAGCTAAACATTACCGTTCGGCAGTTAGGACTGTAAATTCGAAATTTAGTTGAAATCTGTTCAATATAGTTTGGAAGAAATTCCTTGATCACTGTGAATTTCGGCCCGTATTGCCATATAACTATGGCGAAAACAAATGAAGGCAGAATTAAAAAAAATCACGAGCTAAACATTACCGTTTGGAGGTAATGAATACATATGTGTACCAAATTTCATCGAGTTAAGTTCATTAGTTTGAGAGATATTCCTTGTTCATTGAATTTGGAAATTGGCCGTGAGACCGGCAGCGAGTCAGGCCTTTAGTGTGTCCGAGACGTAAACCCAATAGAGGTTAAAAAATCAGATCTGGGTGAAAAAACCATCGCTGGGAGTCATGATGTGCTGCACGTGTTGTGTAAAAATTGTCAAACAAACCTTGAAACTTCTGACTTTGATTTCGGACTACCGCCCGCCATATCGCCCCCCTACCACCCTCTTCTTCCTCACCGCCCTCCAAAATCTTTCCACCGCCCCTAGGGGGACGATATCGCCCACTTTGGGAACCACTTCTATAGACGATTAAAATGAAAAAAAATTACCAACGTATATATGATTTCTAACTAAGAAGTATATTTTTGGCTCATTTATTTCAGATGTTGGATCGTGAAGTTCATGCGGTACGAGAGTTTTTGGAGTCAGGCAAGGTGCTTCACTTAATGCGGGATCATCCATCGCATCCTGCAGCTATTCTAACAGGCATGTTCGGCGTAAACCAAACAGCCAGCAACCGCACTCTCCTCAACTCCATCCGCGGCCAACTTTTTGGCAAACTCAAGAAAGGTTCTGATCAAGCCTTACTGAAAGTAAGCACCTGCGATAGATATAATCATAAGTACATGTTACATGAATAATAGGAAATTCGCTTGTTATTATACGAGCAGCTTAGCGCGAAGTAAGGCTTCTGTGAAAATATATTCGTGAGAGACTGAACACGCTTTTCTTAACTTCGACGTATATGAAAATTATTTAAACGAAGTAAAATCGGGAAAATCACAAACCTGGTATGATCATGCTTTCACATTCTCCAGCGTTACAAATTAACACAAGTTTTTTTTACTTATTTCGGGATATTAGAATAATATGTGCAGATCCATAGTCACTTCTATTATTCAGCATAATTTACCCCAACAGAACTACTTATACCCCAAGCTGGTGATGGACTCAGTCACGCACGACAGCTACCAGTGTAAAAAATTTCCCTCGACTGTGCCATTCCCGACGAAGAGGGTGAATGGTCAGTTTGTGGGCAATAGAAGGTGAGCTTTGAGAGATATGAGCGGTATTCTGATTACTGCTCTCTTGATAACGCCAGTAAATTGGTAAAGAAAATGTCACCCGAAAATGTAGTATACAGTGTTTAGTGGATCTCTCCAAGGTCAGGCAAACAATACAGCAAACAAAGTAAACTTCTTATAACCGGAACGTATTTCTTTGTCAGCAGCGAAATTTTTTTTTTACATTGTTTTAATTAATACCTTTTGGAAATTACAGGTATCGAAGTAAATACAAGAATGAGGTGGTAAGAGGTCCTTGCCCCAAAGAATGCCGACCTCCAAACCACCAAGACTGGAAGTATTGCTGAATTTTCCAGCTTATGAGTGCAAAGAATGAACTCATTTGATGGCAAGGAGCTTTTACGAATTGGATTGTCTGGTTAGATAGGAATTATTAATAGTTAGATATTTCATAATAGTCATTAGTTAGATGAATATCACATTAGTTAGATGTAGAGTCATTAACAGTTAGATAGTTCACAATAGATATAGTTCACAACCATTTGCTATAGCACACATAAAGAGTGCGATTTGTTCAAGTCTGATAATTGATAATATAATTGTTGCGACCTGTCTTTGAGCAGGCAAGATATAAATACTGTTTCAAGTTTTTTATAATCTATTGTCGTAATTAAGCTGGAACTGTTATATACTACAGCTGAAAGGCTGTGGTATCTCTTAATATTTTCACATTTTAGAAGTTATTTGTGTGTTTGAAGACTCCTACCTTGAATATACAGTCTCTTCGATTGCTTATGTGACCTTGATATGAATTATTGTTTTTATTGGTGGAATCTTTAGCCATTGCAAAACGGAGAGGAGAAGCTGAGTTAGAAATTATATGTGACTTTTAATTAGGTAGGAGTGAATTTTATTAATGAATAAAAACGAATTTCAGATTTTAAACTAGAAATGGAAACTTGCTAAGAGCTAAGCATGGGCTGCAACTTGTGCATTTTCAATTTATGTGCTTTAGTTTCAGACTTTATCATCGTATTCGCCGTAACAGGATCCTCAAATTTCAAAAAATTATTCAACGCTGGCAACGCGTGTCTTATCCATTTATTAAACGATATTATTAACACTTTTGCGAAATGAATTTTAAATTTCGTGATGATTTAAGGTTGAAAATATGTGAGCTCTCTAGACATTTTGGTGGAACCTAGACTGCATCTCATAGGTAATGCAAATTTAATATCTGATTGTAATTAATGTAAAAATGAACGATTATTATGTATGCTTGTGAGCTGTACTTAGCCCGAGCTGCATTCATACAGGGCGCAAATACTCGAGTTGGTGACAAGCCTCGTCTCAACCAAATAACATTCATTCAACAGCTTTCAATAAATTCGCTCTGCCAAATTGGACTCTAGCTCAAGTTAACAGCTGTCTCGCAATAAACTCTTCCACGCTCAATATTTAGTAATTTAACGATCATTCGTGAGCTCCAACCACCGTAGCAGTTGAAAGTCCTCGAGTTCTAATTTTTTTCCTGTTTGCTTTTTCACTGTCATATTTTTTGTATGAATGTTGTTATTTATTCCTTATTTTGTTATTTCGCTCTGTAATTATATCCTCCCTGAACTCTACCCAATTACTCAATCAATTCATCAAACCTAAAACGTAACTTCTAAATATGAGCCAGGGGCCGTATTATCAAAACTTCGTAACTTTTTGTACTTCCGACAAAAAAGTTACGTTTTACGTAAGTACACCCTAATTTTGGCATTATCAAAACATTCGTACGTAAGACTTAGCTAAAAGCGTACTTTCAAAACCATCTGGCCAACTGACCAATCAGAGGCTTTGGATTTGTTTACATTCTGAGAACTTCGATAACGGGAATCGATGCCTTCGATGGTATCGACTATCGAATGCTGTCTGTCGGTATTGCTCCTTGTTGGCCCAGAAAAAGCCGTTCTAAAATAGTTGCCTGTAAAATATAACGTAAAAGGAAAACAAAATCAGTTTCTGGCATTAACTCAATTGAATTTTTTCCAGTAGCACTGTTTAGCACGATCACATATTTTGATCGTGCAAATGGTGCACGATCAAGTAGTGGAGCCATCACAAGTAGAGCCATCATTCTATGCGTGTATAATCCGCGCTGTCGGATTATTGACAAAATTTTATCACAAGTCAAGGTGTTGCTACTTGCTATAGTAAATCAATAGTTTCCTATCGCTTCAGCAGACACTCTAAACTTGTGCGGAACTCCACTTACGACATCTCCGAGCAGGCGTACAGTTACGTTACATATCTTCCCGCGCAAATGTTTTGATTATACCACCTCTAGAGTTACGTCATCAAGTCAGCACTTACGCCACTCGTAAGTCGATTTTGCGTACCTACGAAGTTTTGATAATATGGCCCCTGGTCTCTTTAATGACGTTGTGGAGCCCGGTTTCATAAAGGGAACCAACGTCTATTCACTTTCCTCTACTTTCAAAGATAAATCTTCAACTATACTTTTTTACTTGTCGCGGCTAAAGTACCTCCCTTTTCTATTGATTTCTCCTGATTTTACAATTTACCATGCATCTCCCTGTTAGTTTAAGGGGGGCGTCTACCCTAAAGTTTTCGGATGTGGCTTTTCCGGTTTTTAGTCTCATCTTAAAGCTGACATTCTGCCCTATCCAACGGTACTATTACCATCTCTGTACGTTGATTTATGCGTTCACGACTGGTCATGAGAGGGGGGAGTTATTTAGCAAATAAATAGGAGGAAATTCGCTGCGAGCACTTCAAATAGAGTGTCTGCTTGAGGTACACCTTAGTTACCCGCCTGGCGTCGTATGAGGAGGTGAACATGCAGTCGCTCCCACCATCCTTGACTGGAATCAAGCTCCAGCAACGTTTAGTTTTGTATCATTGCTATATTTAGTGCCTATTGCGATGCGCGCGGGACTTTGTCGCGCTCTCCTGAACATTCACACTTATTATCACGGCAAACCTATCTCCTCCTTGAGTTTTGAAGCTTCAGCAATGAGACATATACCATTCGATTCCTGAAGACCATACCTATCGAGTATCAAAGCCCTTTTTAGATTTGTGCATAGTTTGGATTCAAAATGGGGGGAGGGGGGAAATCTGAAGAAAATGAAAAGAAAACGGGAAAATGCGTTTAAAAAACCTAAGGCAAAAATGAAAAAAATAACTCAGTACTCACCGCAGTGAGTTACAGAGAGCGCATTTTCTCGTCGACGAAAACTTGAGGTCACGGACAGACGGATGGACAGACGGACAGACAGACAGTCGGACGGACATGGCGAGCACAATGGTGCATTTTTTCCATAAATGAAAAAATGCGCCAAAAATCAGGCTTCGTTATTCGATTGGTATGGTCTTTACGAATCGAATGGTATATCTATCAATGCTGTAGCTTGAAAACTGTAGGAGGAGATAGATTTTTAAAGTACCCTCTTTTTTGTTCGTTTTTTATGAATTTCACATTTTCCATTAATTTTTCCGAAAAAATCATACGAACAAAATGTGCTTGTATTTCGGTTTTACATATATCTGTGAAGTTTCAGAAAGATCCGTTAGTAAATGTGGAAGTTTTTTGGAGGATAGATGCCCCCCTTAAACACATGCATCAAATCTTAGGTTCGTTTATTTATTAATAATTCGTGATTTTTTATTCATTCGATTCATAATTCTTATACTGTAGTTGGCCAATTTTAGTTAGTAGTGTCAGTTCTATTAGTGTTAGCATTATTTTCTGTTAACGTTATTTAAGACAACGTCTTCTTCTGGACAAGACCTTCAAGGATTTTTATAAGAACATTCATTGCCTTCATCATTTGTCAAGAACTCAACCAACATATATACTTTACTGAACTGTAGCCGTTGTTTCGGAGCCATTTAGCAGTTGGTCTAGGCTACAACTTTGGACAAAAGTTTAAACGCCACAACTTGAATACTTCTCAATAAGTAACATTTATTTTGACATAGGATTTTGTCGGTCAAAGATTTGAATTGGGAGCTAAGATTTTTATCATTTGATCTGAGATTTTTGTGTGCAAATGTCACACATGAGAGTATTTGGCAATTGGGTGCATAATAGCAGAAATCATAATATTCAAATGAATAGTATTTGAATGCATAACATTCAAATACATTGTATTCATGTGCATAAGAATCGCATGCATTTTACTAAAATGCAAAGTATTTTAATGCATGGACGTAATGCAATTTTTACTAAGTCACACAAAAACTTTGGAAGTGGTCGTATATTGAGCACGGTAATTTGTGTTGGTAGGAACCGAAGAGTAATTTTTTTAACTGACTGTAAGTCAATCAGTTTTTTCTTATAGAGTTTCATGCAAAAATTGTAACTATACCACTCGATTTTCTCAAGCTTTTTTTGTGATTCGTAATTGCTTGCGTTTATACGTGATTTATTTTAATTTTGAATTCCTCCCAATGCGTTGGGTTTGGGTTGTAACGCTAATCTAAAAGAGAATAAAATTTTCTAGCATTAATAATGTCTCGATTATTGGGTTCATTTTGCTTCTTCTTTTTCATATTTCGGATTGTGTCAAAATTTCTCCTCCCATGACAAAACCAATCTGGCTCCACAAATGAAAGTGAAATATATCCAATTATAATCAAACAGTCTTCGAGAATCACTCAAAGAGCATTTACGTATTTGTAGTCCAACTTTGACCTAAAATGACCAAACCAAAAAATATGGCAGGCAGATTCTTGCGGTTTCGATCGCTTTCTCGAAGTCAAGAAAAACACATGTTTATGGTAGCCAATCCCGCACATCTTCTGTTAATCTACTGGTTGTTGTTCTTCCTAAATTAAAAGTAGCACCGCAATAAAATAATTAATCTAAACACATTAAAAAGATAATGCTGATCAAGATTCGAGCGAACAATACTCAAAACAAGAAAAAAATTAGAAACTTATTTCTTCAAGTCTTCATTCTTGGATTACCCGAAATTCTCGAAGATAATCATTTCCTTATCATGCAGGCAATTATTGATTGTAATTATCATAAATTCTTCAGTAATATTTTAATCGGGTCTCAATATTACAAATGAATAAGACTCAGATAAAAATATTTAACTGAATAATTAGCTATCATGAAACTAATGGCACTCGGTGATAGTTTGCGGCGATGACATCAGCATTGTTTTCATCTCCAATTATTCCAATTTGTAAAGTCAAATTTGATCTTGATAGCAGTGCATTTATCTCGATGTATTCAGAAGCCTAACCGCAAACCGAGCCTCGCTCAAGGTTCGCCGTACTGAAGATCAGAGGCACATGCTTCTTTGTATCTCAAGAAAAACATTTGTTCCAGATTATCGATCAAACATGCCGATAATCGTGGAAGGTTGGTTTTTGTTTGTCATGATTTGAGTACGAATAAACAAAGCGATAACTTACTGTATGAGTTGCTATCACAATAAGTAGTTCGTATCGTGTTAACTGGATGCTGTAACATACGGTGCGAATAATTTTATATACACCAATAATATTTTGTGTTATATTAGTGACATATCTCATCAGAACTTTATTCTTCTTGCTGAAAATATTTTTAATACTTTACCTATTCCAACGCTTCACTTTCAACATGAAAACGGGCTTCGCGTATAGGAAATTCTATATTCTAATATACGAACTTAATTGGACAGCTTGAATAAAATCTCAGAATTGGGATAATTTTTCATGAAGATCAGAGTATTTAAAAGTTATTTGTAATCGAGATATTCAACAAAATATCGTACGTTCATAAATATCAACTATCTATAGCAAGTCTCTTTACTTGATAAAAGGATAAACTGCTGTAGAAATTTTGCATATCTTTTTATGATACGCCGATAAGGTAGCATTTTAAAATACTTTTTTTATTCATTATCCTTTAGAATTTAAAAAGATTTCCTATAATGTCAATAACTGAACTCGTTACAGGAAAGCAGGCTTTTGGCCGCTCACGAAACTCAATTTTTAAAATATGAGATAAAAGTAATTATTCACAAAAATAAAACTAGGAATTCAATTATCATATATCTTGATCTAAATAAAATATCTTAAGTTTATTTATGTAGCAATATTAAGCGCTTGTAGAAATATTTCAGGGCATAAGTCAGGTTATCATGGCCTTCAATTCAGAGAATATATGATATTTTTTATGATGTAACTCACAAATTTATTTATTTAAAAAGGTTCCCATTTTCAGAAAAAATTTGTCATATAATTATGCAATAACCACCAATAATGCTCGCATGTATAAATTATCAACATATGAATTATACAACAAAATCGCCAGTCTATTGGCTTTAGTGTTTATTGTTAGGCTTATGCAATAGAATATTTTGGCGTGCTGCAAAAATCCACTTTAAGGTTTTGCATATTGGAGCTGTGTCCGTGAAACTGCAATTATTGCTACAGCAATACTTCACAATATATTTGTTTAGATTCTCTCCTAACAGAATAGTCTTCGAGTTTACCATTGAATTTTAGAAGATTTCGTTGGCAGCTTCATTAAAAATAAATGCAGATAAATTTTGCTTCATGTTGAGTCGGAATTTTCCTTTTCATCGGTCATGTCGGTGCATGCAGAGTAAACCATGTATTGCTTTAATTTAGTAGATTCGATAATTCCTTAACGTTGGAAATGCAAAAAAATCTATAGTTATTTTAAACT